GCGCGTCCAGCAGTCTAAACTACGCAAATGCTGTCCGCAACAAGGCCATTCGATTTTCGCGTAATAAGATGTATTCCCTATAGTTAACTATTCGAGATACGCATGGTGCCGAAACGAGTGAAGTCCCACATATCCCTCGTTCACTACGCGCGTGGACAGATTGAGGGGAGAAATGTGGAAGGATGTTCTACCTCGCAGAAAATCCATCGGCACATATTTTATTTTCCCGTAGAAATGAAATTGAGTGGCGCCTAGCTCCTAGTTAAACAGGAAATGTGTTCGGTGTTAAGGTCACGGTCACCACAAAAAAAAAAAAAACAGTCTGAAGACAATGTTTAAGGCGTCTTTATTCCTTGTATATATCTTGTAGTACGAGTTTTTAACATGGTTTGTAGAAACTGTCAGCAGACGTGTTGGAAGCATGCATATGTATGGAGAAAACATGGTTCGAAGATATGTTCTAGGTGTGTCCGTAGATAAAGTTTGTCATCTCATGTCTGCAGCCGACACTGTGTCTTTTGAATAGACCGACACGCTGTTTACAAACAAGCCCGCGTTTGCCCACACCAGGTGTGCGCACTGCGCCTGCGCAGAAACCAAATTCGCATGAAGGGAAGCGTCTGCACATGCGCCGTGCCGTCGACAGCGCCACTTCAGGGCCGCGTGACTTCAGGGCCGCGTGTCTTCAGGGCCGCCGTGACTTCAGGGCCGCCGTGACTTCAGGGCAGCGTGTTGGTCTATAAGCTAGGAGCGTTGCGGCAATAAAGAGGCTTAGGTTTTACGCAGCAAATCCTGGGTCACCTAATTTTCTATCCTGGAAAGGGCGGGGGGGGGGGGGGGGAGGGAAGGGGAGGATGGGCGGATCATGGGAACACGTCCGATATGTGGTGCGATTGAACGTGAGAACACCAAATACCAGCAACCAACTCACCTGCGGCGTTTCTGATAAATCGTATACACTGGCGGATATTTGTGCGCAAAATCAGCGACCCAAACAAAAGTTGCAGCTTAATATTTTATTAACTTCGTATACGCACGAGGAAAGAGCGTTTCAGTCAAGCGTTTGTACGTGTGGAGCTCAACGACTCGGTACGCTGAACGTACATGCCATATGCTTTTTATTTTAACAAGGTGAATAAGGTTCAACATCGTTACTAGTGCCATTCACTCGCGGGAACGCTCAGAGAGAAATAATTATCGTGATGCCAAAGATTCAGCTATATACATCGGGTTCGATTTTTCTTTTTTCGGTTGAATTGTCCGGGATGCAACTTTAAGCTGAGGAAAACATTTAAACCCACGTGTATCTAAGCTATTCACAGAGGGAACCAAGATTCACGCTACAATAAGAGAACGCGGAGACAACGTCAAAGTACAACATGAAAACATGTAATAGAAATAGCGTGACCAGGTGGGTTTTGATCAAGAGGGAAACTATAGAACATGACAAATGAAAAAAGTGGCAGTCTCAACGAATATTTCTGTTTTCGGCCATGAACGTTTTACAGTTATAATGTATTATTTGCAGGTGCCGGTAAGTGTTTCTTGGGAAAAATTAAAGCATAGTTATGCAACTATATTCTTCCGGATTGGTACGTTAGCGCAGTACTGTGACGGCAATCAACGATCGAAATGAGAAGCCACCAGAATAGGGCAGTAGTTCACTATCTACCAGCCAGATGGATTGACAGATGGATGGATCAGTGAACGTTCTTGAACACTTATATTTGGGGTGGTGGCTTGTGTAACCTAACCTGTCCATTCAATTTTAGCGACTAATACAGCATATACTTACGTAACAAAGTTAACAGCACCGAGAAGCGAAAGCCTGAAGTTTTAACAGTAACGATAGAAAGCGTGTCGCAATGCACCGCTACATCGATATATATTAATGAAACCAAAACCGCTGGCCGTAGTTTAAACAAGCAACTTTTTCCCAAATGCTATCTTAAAGTGAAATGAGACATACCGACCAAAGGTCAAAGGTAAACATGCCAAACTTCACAATAAATCATAATTCATTGTCCCAATATACTGAAGAAGAATGAATGTCTCTTTCTCTGACCGTTTTTGCTCGAAGTTAAAAAACAAAACAAAAACAAGCTGTCTAGCCAACACTTCCTAGAAGCTAAGGCCGTAGCGTTCAGAGTCGTAATGTCACAATGGCCGGAGGAGGGAGGCCCCGTGGAGGAACGGCACCCATTCTGATTCTTTTTGCCCCGCCCGCGTCATTAATTCACTAAGACGACGTGGTTTATTGGAGCGCACTTATCCGGCCTTATTATACGTTTTAAATGCGCTGTCTTTTATAATTCAATATATATGCATATATATATATATATATATATATATATATATATATATATATATATATATATATATATATATATATATATATATATATAACATAAACGTAATACACAACGCGTTACAAGGGTTGAAAGTACCAAATTTGAACATATGATCGCCATGTTACCGCGGGACCACCAGTGCGGTACCGCAGCTCCCTAAACTTTTCGAATGAACCTGTTCCGCCGACGCCATTTTCTTCCCTCATACCGGCCCCGATTTTAGTAAATTTACGCTGTGTGTGAACTGCTGACTGTCTGACTGTCTTCGATGTCCCTTTTTCGTTATCGTAAATTAGAAACCAACACGCTCAATCATCTACATCCAGTTTTTTTGGGCCACGATAAACAGACCAGTCGGAGACGATTTCGGGGAACCACAGCATTCGCACAACCACAGCATTCGCACACAATACGTGTCCTGCGCAGGTACTACACTAAAAAAGAAAAAAAGAAAGTAATTTGGAAAAGATACCTAAAAAGATCTGATTTGTTCGATTTAAATCGGACTAACTCGATTTAGATCACTTTAGTCAGGAAACAGTCATTCTCTACCTCAAGATATTTCTCCAAGGTGGCAAATTGATTGATCAATTCGTTCATTTACTGATAACAATGCGGAAAAGTGCAATTTAATTAACACATTTTTATTGCTGTAATCCCCTCTATACTAGAAGATGAGCGGCATGATTTTTGGTGAGTTACTTATACAACTTTATTTTATATTTTACTTCAGATTTGACTGCAATTGGACGTTATGTGTATTTCTAGTTTAAGTCTCTTTTGCGTTCGGATCTTGTGGTAATAGGACGTTACGTAGCGCTTAAGAACGAAGTGGAGGGCAGAGATTAAGCTCGATCCTCAAATTTTCTCGGAAGCGCACTTCTTTTTGCTCGTGTTTAGCATTAGATAAATCTTTCATGTTTGATGATTCTTTCATTTAAGTACAACGAAAATTCACACAAAAAACATCGAGTGATCAACAAACGGTAAATTAAAATAGTTTTTCGGAATCATTTTAGTGGTCAAGGTTTGATTTAAATTATCATAGTAAAATTGGTCTGGTTTAAATCGTGGCTTAATTCATGACTTAAATCATTTTAATTTTTATTCTCCATCCTGGTACTACGGCATTCTTATCTAGAAAGTGTTGGTCCAGCGGGTCCGGGAACTAATCCCCAAGCTAATCCCTAATCCCTTCTTTGAGATGAAAAGAAGAAGGGGCATTGCCAGTGGTCTCCGCTTCTTCGAATCGCTCATACTGCAACGTCATTGACTGCCCCATGATAGTAGGATGCTTGCAGTTGGCCTTGTCCTCTTGTTGTTCTTAGCTACCAATGAATATGCCGAGAACTTGTTTTCTCACTTCAGCAAAATATGGGAGAAGCAAAACACGATCATGTACTATGCAAACGAGTCACAGATGTACGGATGAAAATGACGCTTGGACGATCGTCCCCTCCATAGACTCATTGAGCTGAATTCAGGACAAGCCCTTTAGAAATTCCGGTAAAAAAAATGACAATTACGTTCAAGTTAGTGTTCGGTAATTCTGACTTTAATCTCATTGCTTTATTTTTTCCGGCACAATATTACTTCGGAAATGTTAGGATCAGACACAACATCCCGTGATTGGCTGACAGTTGGACAGACATCGGTCATCGGTATACAGCAGACACGTAGACAGTGGGTGGGGGGGGGGGGGGGGGGGGGAGGCCGGACCCCCTTTCCCACGAATCAAAATCCTGGCTACGTGCCTGGTATACAGTCACGCACCTTGTTAATATGAACTCCACTATATGTACACCCTTTTCGACGACAAGCTGGGAAAATACACGCATTTTTGGCACGTTATTATGGACAACTCACATTATGGACGACTTTCGGAGGAAACGGTGGGGACCATATTCACGAGGCATCACTGCATCATATTGTTTCGCTGTGTTCACCAATACTTGGGCGAATAACAAGACGAAGAGACAGTCGCCGCTTTGATCACGCAGAGGGCTACCTACTGCGTAACTACTGTGGATACACAATCAATTTCTGTAGGAGTGAAAAGGAGATCCATTAAAGAGCTGGGAGTCTATAGTTTGTTTCACCTTCAGTCAGAGAGCCGCCGGCGCTTCGACAACGAGCCGATGGAACCAATCGATCCCTTTCAAAGCGCAACGTCATGGCCTCTTTCTGTACGTGTTCTTTTATCGGCTAAAGCAATCGGGTACGGTGAATGTCTTGGGACTCGCGCTTTGAATATGCGCGTGTGTCTCTGACTGAATGTATTCAAGCCTTGAGCTGCGCTCTGACTTATGATGAAGCAAAGTAGGTACCAACAAGTTCTAACGCACACGCGCAGGTGCCAGATACGGTTCCAATGGCTCAGGACCATCAAACCTTACTGTGCAGTTCTATTGCTACACCGCTTGTGATAACCCGGAAGACGTTTAGAAAGAGTCCTTGTTGCTCCAAGTTAGAATACTCGGGGCCAACCACAGATTGACCTGGATTTGGTGCTGAAACAATGGACGTCTGCGATGAATCCGCAATGCGCCCCGGGATGTGGCTTGTCAGCTGACGTGGTAGACGACGGCAGCCCACTCACAGGTCGGAGTCGTGTGACCAGCACGCGCAACACACTTTATCGGCATGCCACGGTCGTTGTCACGTGAGGCATATAGACCTGCCACAGCTGACGCTCGTGGTCCGGGTGCGACTCAGTCCCGTGTTGCCTCTCGAAGCCACGCCGGACCTTCGCGGCCGGAGGCAGCCCAGCAGGGCGTCCCTAAAGCTGCCCCGGAAGCTCTTGGACATGAATCCGTAGACCAGCGGGTTGACGCAGCTGTTGAGGTACGACATCAGGTGGAAGGTAGTGCGAAGGGGCTTGAGGTAACTGTAGTTGAGCGTCTTGACGCCTCCGAAGGCGGTCAGCACGTTTAAGATTAGGATGGGGGCCCAGCAGATGACGAAGAGGGCCACCACGAGGATGAGCATCTTGATGACCTGCGCATATGACGTCAAGGGTTGTAAAATGACCGCGAATGAGTTCGATGAAACCGCTCAATAGGGAATCGGCACTGGTGCGCGTTCACTGCACAAATTTAATAGAAAGTTTTAGCCTAGCACACATGAGTGTAAAACTACAACCCTAATCAACATTTTTGTACTGGTTCTTGAACGTATTGCTGATGGTGTTAGTCGATGGCGCTGTTGATTTCTAGCTGCAGCGCTATTGTTTTCCATCATACCTATTTGATTTTCTTGGCAGAGCTGTGCAAAACAATGATTAGGAAAACGTCCTTCTCGAGGTAAGTTCTCGGCCCGGTTTCTCTTCTGGTGGTAACTTTACCAGGGTAAGAATAAGCAAAAGCGTTTTAATGGGCCGTTTTTGTATATCGTTTTTATACCTCTGTGACAGGATAACGACATGATGCGTGCGCAAATGCATAGGCGGAATATCGGGTTCGTTGGTCGTTTCCTTGGTGCGCAACGCAATGCGCAACCTGCTACGAGATTTGGAGCTCTGCATACAAGCCAAGTAGCGCGCATACACAGTGGTGGCGTCTCCTTTTCGGAGGAAAAAATACTGTCCACGAACTCTAGCTAATATATCTACCCGCCAGATGTCATATCTCATCGATTGTTTTGAAAGTATTGGGACGGGAAGGGGCGGGGCTGAAATTTCCGTTTCTTTTTTACATTGACAAGCATAGATTTCACTGGAATTATCAATACCAACAAGCGGTTGATTATATTACAGGAAATAACTAGGTTTCACACTTGCAAACTAATACCCCATTCACACGGCCAGCCTAAAGGCACCTGTAACATAGGTCCCTTTGCAATCGGCGAATCAGCCCGCGCTATTGGATCGTGAGCAAACGTCACGCACGGTGGACCGTGAATTGATTCGCCGCGGAGAATAAAGGACCTTTAGCTAAAGGTACCTTTATGATCGTGGAAATAGGATGTTAATGCGAAAGCATTAAATGTCCCATGGAGCGAAGCCGGCGTTGTCTGTGACCACAAAAAACGACACCTAAATTCGACCTGTAGCAGCGAAAAACGCCAGCAAAATTCCCATTGGTGAGCAAAACGAAAGCTAAATTCCCATTGGCTGAGCGAAACCGCACCCAAAGTCCCATTGGCCAAAAGCACAGCGATGCACATGCTTCGTCACGGAAGCCAGCGGGGCGCTCAAGGTCAAAGAAAACACAAAGAAAAGCACAGCAACGCAGGTGCATTGTCATGGAAGCCGTGGAGGCGGCGGAGGTGCCGCGCCTGCGCAGTGTGGGAACGTGACGTCCCCGCAGGAGCGCAGCGCCGCGCCCAGCTTCGCACTCCCGCGGTTGCCTCACCCTCGGCTGAATTGTTTTGATAAAGTTCACTTCCCATAAGAACAAGGACAGAATTATAAGGTGATATGAATATCATACAGCTATTATATTGATTTTTGTGGTTCTACCAAGTTTAATACTAATCTTTGATCAATAGTAGCATCATGCTACCATGTCTTGCCACTCAAATTTTATCATTTTCTGTACTTCAGAACTAAACTTTATACCAGAAAAAAATTCCAAACCAGTTCAGCATTTTTCACTATTTACAACGGTTTCCCAAGTACGGGAAACTGAGATTGCCAAGAAGATGAGAACAAAAAAGGCATCGTAATTACTGTGTGCAAAAGAAACTTCTCCTGGATTCTTTTTTTTCGTTTTTGCGCTTTTAGTATTAAGATGGTATAACAACTAGTTATCCCTTTTCTTTATTAATGGTTGCTGTAGGTGCTTCATTTTTTTTACCTGCCTAACGGTGTCTTCGTCGGCTTGAGACGGTCTCGGAAGCTTGGGCTCCCCATTGCTGGAGAGTTTCATCAGGGGTTCTTTGCGTGCACCGAAGCTGCCCTTGGTTTCGGCCATTTCGGTGGATATCCTAAAAAAAATGATAGGCAGCTTTTTTACTGAACTTTCAAGGGAAGTCGAAACTTAAGCCACACTTTCCACCTGGCAGCAGTTACGAGAAAAGGTTTTATAGCTATTGCTCTATTTGCCTAGTCTCAAGATTATAGTTCATTTCACCTAAAGTCCTACAGACTTGAGCTGAAACGAAGTATAGACCAACCTGCTCTATACAAACAAGTCACGTTTACGCGCGCCAGGTGTGGGCACTGCGCATGCGCAGAAACCAGATACCCGTAAGGTGGAGTGACCGCGCATGCGCCATGCCGACAGCAGTGCCACCCTAGAGGTGTAATGTCGTAGCTGCGTGTTGGTATATAGGAAGTTTTGGATCGCGTAACTGTTTCCGAGGGACAAGGGAAAAGTCGGATGTGTATGAATACTGACAAAGCTTAAAACGTCGGCTGTCGAAAAACAGGTACCCTTGAGTCAGAGTCTGGAATTACTACACTCCGTTTCTCTCTAAGCCGGACCGCATGCCGATGCAACATCCCGACGAAGCAAATCGTGCAGCGCTTTGCCAACCCACGCTTAAATCAGTTATGCGGAGTGAATGCTCCGTGATACTTCTTTTTTTTATTATTATTTGCTCGATTGGTTTACGTCCCGCGATAGCAAACGTACAGAGGTGACGAGCGTGAGATAAGGCTCTTTTACGACTGCTCGCCTGCATCCATCGAATCGTATAGATCTCTGCATCGCTATCACCCGAGGGAGAAGTGCTGAGTCACTGAGCTGTGGACGCATGCGCAGCGTACGATATATACCGCACAGCACATCAACAGCGCATGCTCAGAAGGCGTTCCATAGCCTAGCAGACAAAGATGGCAGCGCACAGAAGGCGATTTCTTGCGAAGGCCTATACTATAGTATCGGCTGCTGTTATGTTTCTGGGAGCGCTGAAGAGAAAACCGCCCGAGAATACACGACTCGACCCGGGGCGCAGACCTCTAGCGGCATCATGGCTGATGGTTGTCTTCGCTGAGGGCCCTAAATACAAAAAGGACGTCTTTTGGGAAGCACGAGACGATCCAAAACAGCCAACCCTCGCAAAAAAAAAAAAAAAAAGGCGGCGTGCGCGCACGTGATTGTGTGTGTTGGTGTTGTGTCTTGGGTGCGAGCGGCAAGAGCGTCGACGCCTTGCATCGGACACCGCCGCATGGCAAGAGCGACTACGGACTGCATCGTCAGTACCCTGCGGAAAGGAACTCGGGGAAATCACATCAGCCGCCACCGCGCCGCGAACACCACGCGTGAACATTCGAAATCTGGGAAAGGATCCTCTCTTTCGGCAGGCCTTTTCGCCCTCGGAGGGCATGAACATGAGTTCGGAGGCACCGATTAGACTTTTAACCGGCTCCTCGTATATTCACTGTACATGAAAGTTCTACTTCAATAATCTTACTACAGGCTCGCTTCCTCGGGAGCTATGCGATCAGCGATCCACAACCCCGACTCCCCGTTCCGCACCAGAGATCCTCCTTTCCCAGTCGCAGCACTGCCGTCTGACTTAATGTGAAACAAAGTATAAGAACGCCTCCAGCACGGTTCTTGTACTCGATATTGTCAGACGAGTCCCCGCACTTCGGAAGTATGTAAAAATACCTCCACCAAATACTTTACTAGAAAGAACACAGGACACTCCACGAAAACACATAGAAGCAGTCAACGACCAAGAACCATAGAAACACGCGCGACGGCGGCAGCGGTACCGCCTGGCCAGGTGCTCCGGCGGCCAGAGCAGGGGGTGGTGGTAAAGGCGTCAAGAAATAAACCACTCCACCAGGGGAGGATTCGGCGCGGCAGTCGCTCTGTCTCATGTGAATGAGGAGTGTCCTGTATCCCCATAGTAAAGTATTTTCTTCCACTACCGAAGAAAAGTTTTTTAAAAAAATCTACGCGAGGAAGTCTTGCAACACCGAAGATTCTAAAAGAATGTGAATAAAGAGAGTCATTTGATGCGGGCATTCATTCAGGTGGAGTGCTCGCAGTCACTCGTGTCGTCCTCACGGGCGGGTTTATGCCAAAACATCCCGAACTGCCCATTTATAAAAATATAAATTAGAAAAATCAGCTTTTTTTAGACTTTTAGTTACAGAACGGAAACAATTGTGGTTCAGTTGAATTTGCATGAAAATAAGCTTATCGAAACATCACTGTGTACTTACGTCTTGCTCGCCACTACACTAGACATTTCGGCGTGTTTGTTCATGACCTTCAATAACGACGAAAAAGCAGCACTCACAGTACTTGCTTCGTCCACAATTTTTACTTTGTTTCGCGTTTTCCCGTGCTTTCTTAGTTTGTACTAAATTAGAAAAAACAAATCTGTTCGGACAGTTGCGGAGAGTGGCGAGGCCGGTCTGCTTCAAAACACTGGCGCTTCAAAATCGCAGTCACTCTCATCAAACATATAACAAAAGACATGTTTTTTTTTTTTTTTGTTTTTTTTTCAGACATGTCAGATTTATTTGCGGACACTCCTCGAGCAAGGTCGAAACGCGCTTGTTTGGTTCATATGTATGCTTGGTACATGTCTACAATACGTTTCTGCATGACAAACGTGAGAGGACCGCCATTCGAGAAAGAAACTCGCTGCAGACGGTGCCTGCAGACTGTCGCTTGTATGGTGATGGTCGACTTCATATCGCCCGCATAGCAACTCACAGCGTTCCCGTAGTGAGGTTGGCCCTCTCCTTGACGACCATCCAAAGCTGGACGCAAATCCTGGTGTAGGCGTAGCCCATCACGATGGTCGGGATGCACAGCACCAGCACCAGCATGTAGATTTCGAACGAGCGCCACCTGGTGGGATTCTCCTCGTCCCGCATGCACCAGTAGGCCGTCCTTCTCAGGCCCATTTCGACGTGAGCCTGCGGGCGTAACCGATAAGTCAATCTGTGCTTTACTAGAATGCCTCGAAGAAGTCTCCGATTTGCGTGTTTGCCCAGTCCTAAAGAAAAGTGATCCTCCCGGTTTCGGTTAATGACGTCGCAGAAGCAACGCGTCACAGCAGCGGTGGCGTATGTGCCAGACGCCTGTTCTGCCGCGCTGGTCGCTCTTCAGTTTAAAAGTCTACGAATGCTTCAGCAGCCACAAGTTGGGACGTGGCGACGCTGAACGTCACTCGGGTTCGCTTGTGCTTTTTGCCGAGACTTCTAACACCAACCGCCAGGATCGCGACTTCCGACAGCATGACACGACGTCTTATGTAACGTCATTGGTTGCAATTTTCGGGTCACTTTTGATGTATGAACGGGTTAGGGTGCTAAATGCACCTGTCGAAATTCGCGTTCCGTGTACCATACTTTTACTAAGATGACGTCTGCCGATTATAGTTTACCGTTTTACTCTTACTAAGGTACATAAAAAGAGAAAACAGACTCACTTGCACAAATATTATGGGCAGCGCAGAGAGCGACGACGAGATCCAGATGAAGATGATCACTCTCCGTGCCTGGCTAAAAGTGCAGAGGTACCGGGAACGGACTGGGTGGATCACGGCGTAGTATCTGCGTACACCACAACGAGCAAACTTCCTTGAGTCTTTTGCAGGTTTAGAAAAACCGGACAAGTCCCTCCTCTGCCTGCCATGATGGGTAATTTTCTCCACTCCATTCGCATACTTTGTGGCAATGCGTCTACCAAAGTCAAAAGAGTGGAGGACTTTGCGGGAATGCATGTCCTGCAATTCTTAACCTACAACCTAGTATGGTGACAGCACGAGAAAAGTGAGCTAGCCGTCATCAGCTAAAGCATCAGCTACATTCATGGGATTAGTTATTTATGGTACTCCTATTTTATTAATGCTGGTAGCTTTGGGTGTCTGTGTGATTTCTGTTCTTCACGACCCTAATTGATGACTCGATTGCCGAATTTCCGCAGCGAAAGAGTTTGAGATTTGTGCGAGATTCAGCAAATTTACCACTCTGGATCTATGATAAAACAAGACACGGAAGGTTGAAAGGCGCTGGCAGAGCAGGACACAGCGCGACCATTGAGGATGGTGGCTGTAGATGTTTAATTGTGTAGAGCTGGAACGTTTGATGAAAGTTATTACGTGCTTAACTGAACATGTTCTTTCGGAGGCACAAGTATCGGGTGGCGAAGAACTAATACTGAGATGTATTTGTGCAATTACGAAAAACAGGCAGATGCTATGTTCGCATAAACAGTGCCACACCGTGTATGACGTAACGTTACGCACACAGTATATTATAATCACAACCCCGAAACGAGGAAAATCGAAAAACCGTACAATATGACAAAAAATCTCAAACGCAGCTAAGTTGATTCGCAAGAGAACAATTTACAGCCGTCCTCACAGACAGGAAAAAGTGAAGACAAGATGACATGCCATCACAAAGCAGTGCGGAATAGAGCCATACTGACATACCTCCACCCAGACACCACACCATTAGCAAACACCTGCCGCCAAGCGACCCGATAAGATAATCTTCCTCATCAAAGCTATGTGAACCGAACAAAACACACGCAAAGAACCAAAAAAACACCAAAAAGGTGTGCTTTACAGTCATTGTGGGTAATAGGTGAAGAAAGCGTCTTTTGAATCAGAAATAAGAACTGTGTTTAGAATAGAAAGGAAGAGAGATCCCTTTGTTCAAGTTTGAAGGAGGATGGATGTTAAGTTATCGCGTCTCCATGTAAAGTTGTCCGCATTCTTGCATTGTGTGATAGAGACTCTGGCGCTTAAACTGTATATACTTTGCCCTTTTGTGTTGGTGGTGATGACCTTGAGATTGAGACTATATAAGGGGGCGGCGTAAAAAAGCTCACTGGAGAAGAGCTCACGGGATAAAAGCTCACCGCAAGACTGGCAGACGCGGAGAAAATGCTCACCGGCTCTTGAGCGGAAGCTAGTGAAAAGCTCATCGAAATTTTTATCTTTTTTTTTAGCTTAGCGAATTGCGACCACACGTGGCAATTTAGCACAATTAGAATTCGTCACTTCATTAAAAATATTTGTCCTCCTTTTTGTAATATTCTTTAGAAGTTCATTGAATATATTTACTAATTCCTCAAAAATTGGTAATCAGCCCTTTTGTCTATTAACCCCATCCGCAAGTATAAAATCAGAACAGGGACGCCCATAAAAAAATAAAATATATTAACAGCTTGGCGCTGCGCTGTCGGGAGCCGCCAAATAAGGTTTGTTTTTGCAAGCTAATATGAATGGTGGTTCGTGAACCTTTTGAGCTACGAAGATTCTGTGGCGCTTCATAGATGAGTAGGTGTTTGTTGGTGTGATCAGTGTCAACTACACTGTTTTCTTTCACAAAGAAAACTTTAATTGCGAGAACAGCTTCGACCTGTCGCATTTGTTGTCTTCACTCCGTCTTTGTCGTTTGAGTTGTTTTAATCATGTATAACGTTTACCGACTCGCCCAATTCGCTACCTTACAGAAGACAATTCCTCTTATAGGTCATGAGTAACAATGGTGTCATAGCGCAGTTCTGAAGGTCATGGGTGGTTCGGCCTAAAAGGACACTATCACACAAAGGCAATGTGTGGAAACACCAGCCCGAAGGGCTAAAAACGTGCATGTCCGTGGAAAAAAAACAATCTCAATGTCCTACTGACCATTCTATCCTGCTTTCGAAGGTTAACAAAAGCTTTAAAAAGAAATTGCAGGCGCCGCGTAGTTGGGCATGCACTTTCGGATTTTTGTCCTTTACAGTTTTGCTTTTTAGGTTTTAGGCAGACATTATTAAGTTTTCCAACTTTCCCCTTTTTTATTTTATAGAGTTTTTAGTTAAGCTTTGGTAAACCACAGAAAACAATCACTCGCACTTATTCATTTGGGATCAATATACCCAATAATCTTCAAAAAATACTGCAAAAAGAACATTTTTTTTTGTAAAACTGAACAATTTTAGTGATAATAAATTGATGTATGGTACCATGATCCGACAGCCTCAATACGAAACGAAAAAACGATATCAGAGAGCTTTCCGCCTTTTCCGGTCAAGGGCCGGTGAGCTCTTCTCCGGTGAACTTTTCTCCATTGACATTGCTCCGGTGAACTGTTTTTTCGGTGAGCTTACTTCCGGTGCGCTTTTCTCCGGTGAGCTTTTTTCTGGGATTCATATAAGGAGGGGGACTAACTAAACGAGTTGGCGGAGTTCGAGACGTCGTCCTGTCTCTTTTCTGTCTCTCCTGTTTTTTTTTCTTTATTTTATTTATTTATTTATCAATATTACTAATCCTCGTTGAAGGATTTTTTTAGGATGGTACAAAACACAGATGCATAACCGTAGTCCAGAAAAAAAGAGTTATACAGAGGGTAAAATTATATGAAACAAACGGAGTGGATGTGACATGGTGTTTTTACATCATGAGCGCTTCGACGTCATCCACGAACTGTTTTAGCGAGCTAGCGCGGACAACGTGTCCGGGCAAACTGTTCCATTCCTGGACTGCTAGCGGAAAAAAAATGAAAATTTAAAGCAATTATTTCTAGGTTGGAACTCCCTGAATAATTTCTAATGGTTTGAACGGGTTTCTCTTCCATCGTGGGGAATAAGGTACTTAGATTTTTCTATTTTAGTCAAATTATTGGCTATTTGATAAATTACCTTTAATCTCGTGAGCTTAGCTCTTTTTTCTAATGGATGGACGCCGAGCAGTCTACACAGCTCAGATGGCGAATCACGTGTGCCAAACTTGTTAGTAAAAAACCTTTCAGCGACCCTTTGCACTTTGTCTAATTTTTGTATGTTAGCTTTTGTGAAGGGGAACCAAACAGGGCTGGCATATTCAAGCGCAGGCCAAACAAGTGTCGTGTAGGCCAACAGTTTGGTATGGCGGGAAGCGTATTTGAGTCGCCTTCTTATGCACCACAATTTTGTTAGCGGTTTTTTGGTCACTGCGTCTATATGCATGCCCCAGTCCAGATCACTTGTGAACAGGGCAACCAGGTACTTGAACTCATGGACGTTTTGTAAAGTGTTTCCGATGATCTTATAAGAATGATTGAATATGTTTTTCTTCCTCTTATGGACATGGCTACTGTTTTCTCTAGTTAATAAGCATCTGCCATTCTTTACAGCAGTCTAAGATCTTGGCTAACGCGCTTTGTAATTTTAAGTGGTCCGAAGAATTTGTTATTTCAGAATGTATTATACAATCGTCAGCAAAGAGTCTAACGTTGATGTTGATGTTATCAGTTATATCATTAATATAGAGCAGGAAGAGAAGAGGGGAAAGTACTGAACCCTTAGGTACTCCTAAACACACGGCCTTATTAGCTGAGCTATTTCCGTTAATTTTCACGAATTGACCAGAGAGGTAGTCCTTAATCCAATTTACAACTTGTCCGTCGCCTAGGATTTTCGTTAACTTGAAAAGTAGTTTATTGTGGGAGACTCTGTCAAACGCTTTTGACAGGTCTAGAAAGATGACATTCACTTGACTTCGATTTATAACCGAGGAAAAGTCGTGCACGCTTTCAATTAACTGAGTGCCGGTTGACAATTCGGATCGAAAACCGTGCTGGCATACACCTAAAACGTTGTTTTCTTCGACGAAAGCAGTGATATGCTTTAGCATAACATGTTCCAATAATTTGCAACATGTTGATGTAAATGAAATTGTCCTATAGTTTGAAATGCTCTCTCTGCTGCCCGGTTTATGAATTGGAATAACTTTAGCTTGCTTCCAGTCGGGTGGAATTGATTCTTGCAGCGATTTCTATATATTAGTGATAAATATTTTGATATCCACACTGCGTACCTTATCAGAAATTGATGCTTCTTTGATGTTTCTTTTCTACCCCAGTCTCAGGTGAATTCAGCATGGTTAATATTCCCCACCTCGCGAGCCACCCTTACCATATTTTCTATTTTTCTTTCTATAATCTGAACTAGCCAAATATATTGCTGAAAGGAACGCGTCCTCGCCATTATGGGAAGACACCTCAACCTTGTCAAAGAAAGCGGCACTTTCACAAACGTCTTAAAGAAAACCTTGAGTGCAGAGGGCCACGGAAACTGTGTGGGCCAGCCAACTATAGTTTTCAACGAACGGGTGAGAGAGTTCCTTCTGTTGCGAGAGGTGTTGACCAAGGGGCGGTTTTTTGCTTGGTTCACATAGCCTCGACGAGAATTATCTTGTCGAGCAGCTTGGCGGCGGGTGTCTGCTGGTCGTGTGGTGTTGACTGGGAGGACGTCAGTCAGTCTGGCTCAGTTCCGCCAACTTTGTGGCGGCATGTAATTTTGTCTTCCCTCTTTTCCGTCTGTGTTTCCTCGCGAATACGCTAAACTGTGTTGGCGATTTTGTGTCGTTATGTCCATTATTTTATTTCTTCTTGTTTCAGGGTTTAGGTTACGATGTTTCCTGACCCTCTCTACCGCATACTTTCGACCCTTGCACAATGTATACGTTCCATAATATTGTATAACTTACTTCATTTGCGAAGCTTTAGTGTGGGTTCGGGCTTCCACGCAGTGTAGTTAAAAAAAAAAAAAAAAGACGCGCTCTTTTTTTGTAATG